ACTCTTTTTTCATCATCTCCATCACCCAAATGGACTTCCTCGAAGATCTCAAACGCTGCCTTAGCCGCGATAATGCCTTCCTTGACCTTAAGGAACGACTCTTGCAAGCTCCTTCTTCATTCCCTGATTTCTCAATTCATCAGGACCTCATTCTCCACAAAGGAAAGATATGGTTGCCCAGGTCTTGCTCAATGATCCAACTGTTGCTCCACGAATTTCACTCCACTCCTTTAGCTGGTCACCCTGGTGTCACTCGAACCTTGGCTAAATTGCAAGCAAATTTTTTTTGGGAGAATATGAGAAAACATATTTAAACTATTTATTTTATTTTGAAAGCATATAAAACCTTTTTGTTTTTAAACTTTTACCATCTTATTGATGTCTTGTAAGTAGAGACGAATCTACATTTTTAGAAGTTGTTGGGGCTAACTTTTTTTGTTGTAGTATGCATTTATGATTCATTTGTATTGCCATTATATATAATATTTGAGTTAATCATTTATATAATTAATTATATCTTTTAAGAGTTAATCACTTTAATATAATTTTTTTTTACCGACAATCAATTATATCTCTTAATTGTGTTATGTCACTGGAAACATATTTCCTTTTAAATGTAACATGGCACAATTAAGATATATAATTAGTTATTAGTATAAAAAAAAATTTATCCTGATAGTATATAAGTAAGGGTATATAAATGATTAACTTATAATATTTTACCTCTTTATCATCGGACAGAATTACACTTTTAAATTAATAAATAAATAATGTAACAACCATTTTCAAAACTACAACTTCACTTTAGTAATGTTTTGAAAACTACCCTAATATGGTCAAAAAGTCTAAAATCCAAATCCAAAAAGACCTGAATATATCTCACGTATACCAAAATTGTACCACTATTTCCTTGTACCAAACTATATAACACCGAAAAAAAGGTGTTTATTTGAATTTTGCATTATTATTTTAAACGTATAACAATGACATAAACTAGAATGTTGACTGACTAACGATAACGAATTCAAAAACTTGAAAGGTGAAGGTAAAAAAAGTCAAGGAAGTGAAGTAGTCAGGATTTGTATCGAAAAGTTTGTTTACAATTCAATTGAGTTTATCTAAAAGCAAATATTTGTACAACAACTCTTAACCGTGATTCTTATATAATAGAGTCCAAAATTGTTTACAAAGGAAATTAAACCACCATGCCGAAGAATTTAAACAATAATTTCTCTAATTGAAGATAAATATAAGAAACAGGAACCATAGGCGAGCTTCACATTACCAAAATAACTCCCAAATCAAACCTGTGTAAACAGGTAAGCAGACAGTGCGTATTGAATCTCAAGAGTTTCAGATTCAAAAATTCTCTCCGAATGCAAACAACACAAACACGAATAGCCAGATCTCGATAAATGAAAGAATATAAAAGATAAACATATAATAATAATAATAAGGTCGTGATCCTAAGCGAATCTGACACTCGAAACCGCAACAAGGAAAAAAGCAAAAGCGAAAGATTGCAGCCGAGAGAATATCTGCAGAACAAAAGTAAGAAAAACTCGATTTATGGAAGAAAAAAAAAAACACGAAATAAATTCAGATGAACATCGCAGATCATCAGATCGGAATTCTGAACAACAAATAGAGGGTGCATATACTGTTAAATACAGATTAAAATATATGACGATGAGAGAAGGCGTAAAGTATGATCCAGCACATATCTTTAACCAAGGAAACGCAGTGGAGAAAGAAAAACAGAGATCTCACGTTTCTCTTCTCTTAGAACTCTCTCAACTGTGATTTCCCTGATTAAAAAGATGCAATGAATCAGTTGCAGCCACTCAGAAAACAGAGAGGTAAAATGTATTTATAGGGTAGAAATTAGGGTTTGAATTTACCCTCTTTTGAAGTCTCCTATAAATTCAAGATTCAGTGGACTAAGAGAAACAGTTTGTGAAACTACTTTTGGGCCCGGTTTCACTATTTTCACATTTTCTTTTCACGTATAGGTTTCATTTTTTTTCCTAATATTTTTTTAAAATTATATATATTTATTTTTTTATATCAATAATAATATGATTATGATAACAAAAATCAAATCTAAATTATTATAGATCTACCATTTATTACAATTTTTCTAATCCTTAACTCGACTCTGGTAATTTGAAAGGTTCATGTAAAATTTTAAAATATATTTATATTCATATTTTAGTACATTGCAATTTTTTTATTTTTTTAAACTCATATTTTTTTATCATATAAATTAGATTGTTGATAAATAATTTATTGTATGGTAATTATTTTAAGAAATACTGAAATTTAATTTAGAAATAAAATTAAAATAATAATTTAAAAGATGTTAGAAGTAACAAAAACTCTTAATTTTTTTAAAACAAATAGTTAAAAGCGCTCTATCATAGTTACTAAAAAAAATATTTCTATTCAAGATAATTTAAAAACATTAATATACTTTTTTTATTTTTTTATTTTTATGCAATGAATATGTTAATGACTACAATTTTTTAAAAAGTATTAATTTGGGTTGAATAAATTTTAATCTCTCAACTTTTTAAGAAATTTTTTTTTAGTTTTTCTTTAAAAATTTTCAATTTTTAGCCTTTCGCTATTTTTTTTTCATAAATTAGTCAAGATTAAACCTCTTTTATTAAGTCATAATGTATGTTAATAAATGATGATTGACTTTAATTATTTTAAAAACTATGAATTACGAGACCATGATACTTGTTAACCAGATGAGCCCAATTGGTTTTAAGTTTGTGGACAAAGCACTATACCTAGTGCTTGATTCAATGATGGTGATGAAAAATAACAGTGAAAGTATCTCCAATGATCTATTAGGTAAAATAACAAGAATTTAAAAAAAAATTGTGTCATTGTTTCATCTTATTTGTCTTATTTCACTATGCTTTTGTGCATTAACCGTTGAACAATCATTTTTTTTTCTTCTATTAAATCTAATGATATATAGCAAATCAAACACATAGTGGATTTAACTTTTTGGTTTCCACCTAATGGATTAACTTTTCTGATTGTGTCCTTGTGTGTTTAAGTCATAAGATATCGATCACATCATTAACAAACAAAATCTTTTAGGGCATATTTCAAAACTAAAGTGTGTTGGGTCCAGCTATGTTTACTACAACAACTTATTTTATAAAAGTATAGGAAACCATTAAATTACATAAGTATATTTTCTATGAGTAAATCACTAATTAAATATAGTTTCGTTAAATTTAACAAATGATTTATTATTAACCAAGTTTTAAAATTAAAATTGATATGAAAAAATTAACTACCATGCATACTCATGCATAGACTATATGTGAGAATCCTTGCGGATGATATCACTCTATTTTGATTCAACAAACACAATTGCTTTCGTTAAGGAAGATCTTCCTCCTTACCATCATTTTACAACTTTGGCTTAAGAAGCTAAAAACATGTATAACTAGAACTGGATTTTTCTGCTATGTACGTTTTGAGAAAGAAATTAATCAATGTGCGGATTTCATTACGAAATCATGATCCTCAAAGGAGGAGTGGTTACATAATAATCTTTCTAATGGCATCACTTCATTTATCATTGTGCATGAGGGAAAAAAAAAGATTTATTGTTTGTGTTAAATTAAAATTTGTAAAAGAAAAAACTATGACAACAATAAGACAATCAAACAAATGATTTAAAGTATGCTACAATCTTTTTACTTATAAAACTACATATTATTTTCAATTTGTTTCTCTCTTTTTTCCTAAAATTTGTATAGAAAACGTACTGAGAAAACAAAATAAGTACTATTTTTAATTGTTAATGTTTCCTGTACAATTTTGTGATAACAAGGAGTAGTTTTTTATTTATTATTATTAATATAGGATGCGGTATATTTGTGTAAAAATTAACAATATTGTTTAGGTATATTTATGTAATAGATAGAGTAATTAAAAAATATTTTATTTATGATGTTAGTGAAAAATAATTTAAAACTATTTTGTAATAAAAATATTTAATAAATTATAAATTAACTATTCACATTCACATTATTTAAAAGTGAAAATATTTCTTACTCATAAAAAATTTAGGTGATATGTGTCAAAGGTGTAATTATGTAAATACAGTAAGAGCTCATAAAACATTTTATTTATGATTTTATTAAATATAAATTTAAAACTATTTCAAACATTATATGTACTACATAAGTTTTTGCTATATTCAAGTATGTAAAGCAGTTCAACCCTATATTAATCAATATTTTTTTTATAAAAGAGGTTATTAAAAATAGGCTCAAAATATTATTATTCAGTAATTATATTACTTTTATATAAAAATTTAATTCTCATAATTCCGGTATAAATTAGCAGAAATTTTATTTTTGAAATTGCTACAAGTGATTTTATACTATTACAAAGATAAAACTAATGTTTTAATGACAACAATTCTTTTAAAATTATTATTTTTATATTTATATGCAGTATTTTAAACATTAATCTTTCAAAAGATTTTGTTAATGACACCTTATGAATTAGATTTTCAAGTTTAATCTAGGGTATTATGATAAATAAAAAAAATTATGTTAATGTTGATTTCAGGGAGAGACTAATAAAGTAGATTCTAATACTCTGATTGAACAAGGAAGATTTAATAACTAGGAATGGTCTTATATTTCTCATTTATTATTTCCAGATGATGTCTTTTGCTTTTCACTCAAGCTTCTTGAAGCCAAGGTAGATTGGTTAATAGTATGCTAGAGATATTTATCATTCTTAAGATTGAAAGTTAATACTTATCATACTTCAAAATTGAAAGTTAATTTGGCAAAGTTTAGAAGATACTTCAGGATTGAGCCAATAATAATAATAATAATAATTATTATTATTATTTTTGTAAAATAAAATGAGTTATAAATATATTGTCTTTAATGGATTTTACTGTATTTTTTTCTTTTTATTTTTTTTACATGGATGAAAAAAACAACTAAAAGAAAATGACCAAAAAATTTGAAGACCGAAAAATGACACACCAACTTTATTAACACAAGGTGAAGTCTATATACAAGATGGGAAGGTGAGAAAATTTTTGAAAAGTTTTTCATGTTTTTTTCACAACCAAGAAAATACATATTATAAAGAGAAAAATATAATAAAGGGTATAAGGAGTACCTAATACTTACAAATAAAATAGATAATCTATCATCTCCCTCTATACATGTAACCTCTTCCTACAATATTAAAACTGGTTGTTGGGTCAAAACAACAACAAAGATAGAATTACATTTCAACACAAACAAATAGTTTCTAAACTACTAACAGCATATTGTTTTGCTATTTAAAAAAAAAAGACACTAGTATTAGCCACTTTTAAGAGAGTAAAGCCCCAGATTAAGACAACATTGACTGAAAGAGTATAAGAAATATTTATGCTCCTTATCAAGCCAAGACCAAGATGTGAAAATTAACAATGTCCTTCATGATCATATCCCTATCAAATTGATCACCCTTGAAGACACATATTTTTATGCTTCCAGATGGTTGTTGCATACCAAACAACACGTTAATTTTCACATTTGAGTTTGAAGAGATAGGACCAAAAAAAAAAAAGGAGTGTTGTTCAACTTCTTGAGGTAGTACTACGAGGCAAATTGGTCAAGCAAACCATTGGTTCCACATTTGAACCACGATATTACATGTGCAAAAAATATGTGAGATAAACTATTTGTCTAATTTGCAGTAAGAATATAATAACTATTGTTGAGCTTATATCACATTCCTTCTAAAAAGGTTATTTGTAGATGGTATTCCATTGTGGAACACTTACCACATGAAAAAAATGTAGATTTGGATGGACCTTAAGATTCCAAATCTATATACCCAAAAAAAATTTGATTCACCTCACTATCAAGTCTCTTAAATTGAATAAATTTGTATGTCAATTTAATAGTGAAAACCCTAGATTAATCAGACAGCCAAATCCAAGAGTCGAATACTCCTTTCCTAATGGAGGAGTTAGTAATTACATGCCAAAGAGATTATGCTAAATTGGTCTCCCATTCAAACCACTTTCTATGCCACTTTAGATCTCAAACCCAATTATCCTTGATCTAGCTCTCCATAATAGCAATAATTTAATTTTGTTGTTTAGAATTTAGAAACAACCTATGATGAAACATCACTAAGTAATCCAGTCCAGTCCAATTATCCAATTAAAATTGAGCTTGTCTTCCTTTTCCTAATTTCCTGCTTATCAAGTCGTGAAACCGCCTCGCTATCACCCCCACGAATTTTACTTAAACCAAGCCACCATAAAGATGTTTTACCATAAGCAATCCCTATACATAAATTGAAACTACCACCATACTTTGATCTTAGCATTTCCCCCCATAAAGTGTCAAGTTGGTGGAAGAAGTTTCACTTCCATTTGGCCAAAAAGGAGACATTAAACTCAACAATATTCTTCACTCTCAATCCCTATACATTTTTACTCTAGTTATTTGTTCCTAACTTATCCACAAAATTTTCTCACCACCTTCTTCGCAACCCCACAAAAACCTCCTCTAAATTATCACATTTTTCCTTATTATCACTTTAGAGACTCAAAAGAATGATAGGTAAAAAAGTAATAGTGATATTAAAATCAAGTTTACTAGGCATACTCTCCAAACCATAGATAATGTTTTATGCTTTGAAGAAGAAAACTTCTTCTTATTCTCGATAATGATTGGCTTCCAAGTCTGTCGCTTTCTTAGACTTGCTCTAATAGGTATACCCAAATAGATAAAAGGTAAATGGATAAGTTTGTAACTCAATATATATGCACAACTCTATGAATAATTCTTATTAACTCCAATCACTCCAAAGTTGCTCTTAGAAAAGTTTATTTTCAATTAAAAGACCATTTCAAAAACATCTAAAGATATCCTTAATTTAATGTAAAAATAATATTTTTTTTGTGAAAGAAAGAAAAATAAAAAAAAATGGTATGATCTTAAATTAGTTAATAAACTTATCATTATTTTGTTAAAAAATACATATTTTATTATTTTTAAAAAATATAAATGTCCATTTTAATTTAACAAATGTATTAAATGTGTTTGAAAAACTAAACTAATATTTTTAGTTTATGTATTAAACATAAATGTTTACTGTATACAATATAATTTATATTAAATATTAAGATTGTATTTAGATACAATTTAAAAATACTTTTATTTTTTTTTACTAAAAATAAAAAATATATTTTTAATAAAAAAAAGTTGTTAAAAATTATTTTCAACTATTGTCCAAACATGTTTTAACTATTTTAAAGTATTGATATTTTTCTTAAATATAGAGGAACATACTCCAACCCAATTTAACAGAAACGCGAATAGCAGAGCCACAATCCAAACAGGGCCTTTAAACGCAGAAGGCGAAATCACGGTAGCCGCTACTCTTGGCAAAGGCAAAAGCAGCGCTGGCGTGGTTCTCTTACTTTGAAATCTGATTTGCATAAAAAAGACATAACATGGCGCAAGATTCTGAGAAGAAATTTCATTCCATCATGGACAAGTTCTCTCACCCTCGCAAACCCCCTTCCAGGTTCTCTCTTCGATCTTGTTTTCGGTTTTCAACCCATCAAATTTCATAGGAATCACGCCAGAAGCGTGTATCGCTATTCTCATTGCGTTAACATTGCGTAACCGTAGCTTGTAATGTTGTGTTGCATCTTGCTAGTGTTGTTTAGTACATGACTAAATTATAGACCAATTTTTTTGCTGTGGAGCTAGATTTTCAGTGTTTAGCGTGTGTGCTTTTTATTTACTACTTTTCATTTTGTAGGGAATAGGGATTGGTAATGACTAATATGATTATGTTTGCACTTTGCAGTTCATCTGGAATATCAGGTGGTAGGAAACGTCCTTACCAGTCAGGAGCAATGCAGTTGAATTGGAGAGGGGATGTTGCTGAAGGACACCAGTCCTCCGCCGTTGCCGAGGTGGAGAAGGAATCCTGCCGACCGTGGGATCGTGCTGATTTTATGAGGAGATTAGCCACATTCAAATCTATCTCATGGTTTGCTAAACCAAAGGTTGTTTCTAGATGTCTGTCTTTTATCTTTTATTTATTTATTATGCATTTAGGCTATGCTTGGGAGTAGGATTCTAGAGAGGAAGGGAAGGGAAGATGATTTTTTCATATTTTATACCAAGACACATTAATTTCATGCTAATTTGTATTTTAAAAAGTTATCGAATTAGATAATGAGCCTATTTGGATTCAAGTTAGAAGCAGAACTTCTTTACTGGAAATAAAGAGTAATTTTCGATACAAAAGCTCTTAATAGTACTTCTAAGCTTATATCTAAAAAGACTCAATATATATTGGAAATGACATCCTTAGTGAATTCATTCAAAGTGAATTTATTATATAGCTGCATTTTGGAGTCATAGTTATAATTCAATGCTTTTAGTGAGGGGGGGGTGGGGTGGTCAGGAAACTGGGTTGCTAACAGTGAAAGGGGCAGATACACAATAATAAACTGGAAGCTTTGCTTGAGGAAGATAGAGTAGAATGAACGTTTTTATTGATTAATAAAAAATAAAACAGCGTTTGTCTGGTGGAGTGTTTTGCTCCATTGTTGAACTATGCTGGGATTTTTCAGAAGGAACTCTCTTTGGTAATGAAGTAAGAACACGTAATACCTTACATGCTATGATTGTTCTACTGGAGGGTTGCCTTTCTGATAATTTGTTTGCTTTCATTTAAGAATGACATGAGTTCTGTTGAAGTAAGAACTTATCCTTCTTTGACATATCTGACAGAATATTTTCTTTTTGATAAATGATGAATAACACATCATCTCCTACATTAAAGAAAGCCTCTTGCCTCATTGTTTATGACTTCCCTTTGTTAAGAAATTATTCATCTGTATAATTAATAAACTTTGTACTATTTCCAATCTCCTTTTTGGCCCCTTTCCCATCCCATTTTCTCAAATTTTATGGCTTATCATTTGATTTCTGATATTTACATGTACAGATGGTGAGTGCTGTAAATTGTGCTAGAAGGGGTTGGATCAATGTGGATATTGACACCATAGCTTGTGAAGCATGTGGCGCACGTCTTCTTTTCTCTACACCAGCATCTTGGAATCAGCAACAGGGTATGCTATTGTTCTCAGTTATTATATGATTTACAGCAAAAATCGATTATATGAATTTTCTAATTAGAAGGTCTTCTATTTAGTGGAGAAAGCAGCATTGGTCTTTAGCTTAAAGTTGAATAATGGACATAAAGTACATTGCCCATGGATTGATAATGCCTGCAATGAAACACTGGCACACTTTCCTCCTACAACTCCCTCGATATTAGTTGACAATTTCAGAGAACGCTGTTTTGCTCTCTTGCAACTATCAGCTATTCCTCGAATTTCATCTTCAACAATAGACTATATGAAAAGCCAAAGCTCACTTCTGGAAGACTTTCTTGGACAATCTTTGATGCTGGAGTATGGAAATGGATCTGCTGAGATTGGGAATGTTAGTAGTCAAGAGGAATTGAAATTGTATTTTCAGGTAAAAACAGATTTTTTAATAAGTTTAAAATTCTATTTTTTGGTATTGTTATGGCAAAAATTTATTCAATTACGGGTATGTGATCTGATATCTGTATGCTGATCATGCTTTATGATTCATCCTTTTACTGCTTAATGATCATGACACAGAATTTGTTCATTGTACTTTTCTCTGTTTGCTTTTGGGCTTATTGCATTTCAATTACATTCTTAAGAGATTTTTACGTCATTTTGGCTTTTCTACTTTATTGATTGATGTTGCCAAAATGAACCTGGCAAGGTTGTCAAAACTCATAGTTATTCAATTTTATGGAGGGTCCATAGAGTCTTAAACTTATAAGTGTTTGCCTAATAGAAAAGTAATATTAAAAAAAATTACTCCCTCTGTCCAATATTAATTGTTGCATTAGAAGAAAAATTAAGACTCAAAATAAGTGTCATGTTACTTTTTCAATGTAATATTAATTATCTCTTTTCTATTTATACTCCTAATAATATTATGACTAGATTTTCATTATCTCTCCTTTTTCTTCCTCAGGAAAACATCTTAGTGTATATATCAGCATTTCTTTGTTTGCTACCCTTTTGAATAATGATTAATGATTTTTAAAATTTTGCAGGCTCAAAAACTTGTAAGTTTATGTGGTTGGAAACTTCGTCCTCTACCTTATGTAGTTGATTGCAAGGATGTATCAAATGAATCTCTTAAAAATAGTTCTAATCTCATTGTCCATTCTGCTAACACCGATGAAAATTTGAGAACAGATGAAAATTCCAAGGATTCTACTGGGGGACAAATGGATCCCAGTTCTGCAGTATTAGATTGCACCCTATGTGGAGCCACTATTGGATTGTGGGCATTCCGTACAGTTTCTCTGCCTGTGGAATCAATAAGATTAGTGGGATATGCTGAAATGAATAGTGAAAAAGCTTTTTTGGCCCACAATTTATTGAATAAAAATGATCTTGAAAATAGGCAGGGTGTAAATAATACCATGTCTGATGTTGCAAATTCATCAAAGGATACTTCTTCAAGTCTAAATATGACAATTGCAGGGGGTCCTCCTCCAACAAAGCAAAATTTCAAAGCAATAATATCGATGCCTATTGTTGGTCAGAATTTAAGGGCTCGTCTTTCTTATGAATCTGAGTTCAGAGATCTTGTTTCTGTTGATAGATGTGGTATTCAAACAGATTTACAGGAGAGAACTGAAAATACCGCTAATGCTTCTACTGGACAACTTGTTCCCGTGTCATCTGAAATCAGGGAAATATCAAATTATGAAAATGGTTCTCAAGCAAGTATTCACGATTCAGATTTTATAGTGGGTACCAGTAATGCAGGTCAATCTTCTTCTCTCGAGGATAAGATGCCTGCATACACAGATGCTGATAAATTGAGTGGTTCAACTGCAGGATATCCTAGTAGTTCTCAGGTTAGATTTGTTTTTGGTCAAATGGACAGTTAATTATGATACTTGTAGAAAAAATTACTGCCTAGTTATTATTGTGTCTTGCAATCACAATTAGTAACACTAATAAAATGCTTGATCATAATTAGTCTTGCTATGACGTTGTTTGGAAGTTCACATTAACTAAAATATCGCTGTACAGAAAGACTCTACAGAAGGTGAAGCACTTTCTGTTTCACACAAGACTTTGGATGGCGATGTTGGTAGTCTTGAAAATTCTGTGGTCAAAGACAGAGAAGAGAATCCCATTAGCAGTGAAGATGTACATTCTAGTTTAGGTAAGCACTATATTTGATATTTCATTAACATTGAATGTTTGAATATGAATTAGAGTGTGGCAGAAATTCTGATTGGCAGTTGTATCATTATCTGTTTTGGCATGACAATGTGTACTTCACTTGTCATCATGAATTAATTTATGAGAGAAATTGAATGTTTATGAATTTTCTTCACTTTGCTTTCCAGGGAAGTTTAAGAATCCAACACTGTCTGATAAAGCAACGGAATTTGATCCAATCAGGCAGCATAGACACTTCTGCCCCTGGATTGCATCGATAGATGATGAGGAACCTGGGTGGAAACAAACATTATCTGCTCTGTATCAGAAAAATCATTTGCGACACTCACCAAATAAATCTCCATCATCTGTGCCCACTGTTAAGGTATTTCTTGCAGATATTATTACTCTTATTAATCATTGGATGGGCTATTATATAGCGTAGTAAGTTGTTGGACTGCAACATGATGGACAGGAGTGCTTGGGATGACCCTGACATTTTTTGCATAAAGCAATCCATTCACAGACAATCCTCTATGATTGCTAATTGAATGAAAACTAAAGCCCTAAATATATGGGTTTACATTAACAAAACCCTAAGGTTAACTTGTCTATCATTTTAGTCTTCTGTATAATCATACAGAAGAGAGAATAATACTATTGATAAAGAGGACGGGAAGCCTGATAGTCTGAAATTTCAGTCCTTAAAATTGTCTCAAATTTATTGTGGTGTGTCCGCTGTATGAATTGTTCCTTTCATGGTCTGTGAAATGTGAACATCTGCTTATACCTAATTGATTGTGGAATGCTTACCTAGGAAGATTCAATGTCTTACATATAGCGTGCGTGTATATGCAGGTGGATGATCCTATCGTTTCAATTAGAGCGCTTTTAATGTCTCCACCAACAAAAAGATTGAAGCACAATCATATTACGGGCCATAATACAGAACTGCTTGGACCCAGAGATAAGATGGCTCCTAATTCAAGAACACCTCCCCACTCCTCCAGCTAGATGTTGTGTATACTGTCTTTTTTTCGTGGCATGTTATTCTATTTGAAAGCCTTGTAATTGTTGTATCAAAGGTTTATTTGTTTGTTACTGAAGATACATGTGGTTCAATCCTTCTCCTGACAAAAAAAAAATTGTTGCACCTTGATACCTGTGATTGACCATTACTTTGCATTTTAGAACCGAGCTGTAATATTTTTTTCCTCATTTGTAATACAAATGGCAGACGTTACATAGGGTCGGATGACAATGGAGATTGTTATAAGATGTGATATTTCCTCTTACACATACACATCAAATCAACTAGAGAAGGAAGTAAATACAATTGTGTTACATTAAACCACAGTTTGTAACAATGACCTTCGAATAAGGGCGGTTGAATCCCCTTTCAGCTACAACAGCTCGCTTGTCTCCTATTAGCTTTGCTACCCTGTGAATCAATATAATTAGCAATATATCATGGATTCAGGTTCAACTGTAAATAGCAGGTTAGTAGTAGAAATAAATAAGGGATACAAAACAAAGAAGACGTGCCTCAAGATCTCGAACTATTTCAAACAAGTATATACGATTTCTATTACTTAAATGGCAGAAAAAAATACTCTTAGACTCGCCTAAAATATGGAGATCCTGTGTTTTCTTGTACTGTTTTAACCTGACCGATCCTCTGCACAACCTCCATCCCTCGTGTTACTCTTCCAATTACCAGAGTCGATGCGTCCAATTCTGGTGCATCCTTTGTAGCAATGACAAATTCTGTCCCATTGGGATCAGTTCCTACTTCTTCTTGATCAATCTCCAGCTTCCCTTGTTTTGCTACCAGCTTCAACTTCGGGGGTGGTTTCGATGGGTTTCTCACAATAATGCCTATACTTCCAGCCAGGTTTTTAGTCCCAGGACACCTCTCATACTCCCTCTCCCATTCCTGAACAAGAGTATCTGCAGCCAAATTGCTACCTGTCCTTGTAGCAAGTTCAACATCCACACCATAGGATCTGAGGCCACCATGTTGGACATAATTGGGCATGATTTTGACAAACTCTTTTCTTCTGTAGCTAATGCCAGCAGCTCCACTTACAATCTTACTAAACCTATCAACTCCCGCAGGAACCTCATTTCCATAGAGCCCTATAGTTATGCGACCAACAGGTTCACCATCAATAGATATGTCTAGGAATACTTGTTTGGTAGGTTTTCTTTCAGTGCAGCTGGGAGTGGTTGTCAGATTCTCTTCTGGTTTGTCACTGTTACTTTCATTAGCAACATCTTCAGCGAAAGTCAGATTCTCTTCTGGTTGATCACTGTTACTTGTGTTGGCAACATCTTCTGCTAAAGTCAGATTCTCTTCTGGTTGATCACTGTTACTTGTGTTGGCAACATCTTCTGCTAAAGTCAGATTCTCTTCTGGTTGATCACTGTTACTTGTGTTTGCAACATCTTCTTCTGCTGCAGTCCTATTTTCTTCTGGTTGATCAGTGTTACTTGTGTTAGCAACATCATCTTCTGCTCTTGCTCTGGATCCATCCAAGAGAAGTAGCAAGCAAGAGTTGCTGAAGATTGTGAGCTCTCTGCGTGATAATCTGCATTGCTGTTTGAGGATTGGAAAAGATGGGGAATTGGGTATTAATTGGAATGGCGAAAGTGATGGTGCTATCGTGCGAGTTGGAGGATTGAATGGTTGAGCAGAAAATCGCACTACTCTGTGGTTTTGTAGCATTTCTGCGTTGTTGTAGTTGGCACTATTCGGGAATTGGTTTATATTAGTGTCTGCATCAGCATCATCTGTTCCACTTCATACATGGGAAGATCATGGGATTTAGTAAAGAAAAGGAAGAAGAATAGATAGATAGGAGATTTCATGGATAAGAAAGACGGAAATAGCAATGTTGTATGGTAGCCGTTTATTTGTTTCATTTCATCTCATAATTTTAGGTACACTAATTTACATGCTACCTTTGGATATTGAGAAAGCCCAAAATGTGCACATATTTTTTTCATCTTGTCATTTAGGTTTAATACACTTTTCGTAAAATTTTAATATGCTAAGTTAAGTTTTTTATATAATTATTTTACTCACCTTTTTTTTTTTTTTTTAACTAGCAAATATTATAATGAGGACTATCAGATTCGATTATAAGATATTGTAAATAGTACCTCAACACTGCTATATTAGACTGATGCTGATTTAAATTTAACTCTCCATTTACATGTGCATAAAATAATTTATGGAGATTTTATTGGAAATATCATGAAATCCCCTCACGGAAATATTTTACCGGAAAACTAGCAGCATTTTTAACTCTTGCAATAATACAGTTATTTAATTATATAAGTTTAAATTACTTTATTACATTTTTAACAAATCAAATTAATATTAGTTCGGCTTGGAACAATCCTCCGAAGGGTTTTGCTTTCTTAAGGCTTTGATGACTTTTCGTTTTCTTTTTTCCTTTGCTCATTTGTAACAAAAAAAAAATGCAGTTAAAAAATTCATAAAATACCTTTCATTGAAAATGATTTCTTAAAGACTCAAACTAGTGCATATTTTATTTTATATTGAATCATTCAAAATCACGTTGAAATAGTTGCTGGCTTAATTTTAAATGAATATTCACATATGTTGTCTTTACGTTGAGAAATTAAGTTTAGTTTTATAAATTATAATTGATAGAATAATCTTAGATAATTGATTTTGAGTTTTGCGCGGGATAAAAAATTATTCTTATATCATAATTCATAAATATGGATTCTTCTAATGTTTTTTATAAGTTATTTTTTTTACAAAAACATTCTTTGCAAGTTTATTTCCAGGAGAATAATTTTAGGAGTTATTATTATTATTACCATTATTATTATTATCAACATTATTATAATAAAATTAAAGCTTAAATATATTTTTATTAAAAAAATTAGTTATATTAAAATACTAATACTAATTTTAATCAAAATCAATACGTGACAGCCAAACACAATTTAACTTCCTCACTTCAAAGTAGATTTTTTTTTTAATCAAACACTTTTGGTTTCGTTATACGAAATTAATTAATTTATTAATAATTTAATTTTAATACACAAAATACATTATCAATCAATCAAAAAATTGTTTTTGACAGATCTACTAGTTATTTTCCACATATGAATTAAAATGTTTAGAAGTAATTATTACTTTAAAAAGCTAATTATTTTCCATTAACACAAGTTTTGATTACTAGGGTTTTAGAAGCCATCACCGTCATCACACTGCACTCAAAATGTCTAGCTCCATGCTCACGCTATCAAGAAGACTCCATCGCTCTTTGCTCCGAACCTCTAACGCATATCATCGCCACTTCTCCACCGATCACCTCTTTGAAGCCGACAACGCCGATTCGCCCGCTCCCTCCGCCGACGCCGACGCCGCGCAAGGCGAGCGAGTCTTCGTCGATCGCCCCCTCGAGGATGGCCTCGACAGCGGCATTTACAGGGTAAATCCAATTTCACAATAGTAACGCATTCCTCTTCTTTCCCTGATTCGATTCAATTGTGCTGTGTAGGCCATATTAGTAGGAAAAGCGGGACAGGTGCCGTTCCAGAAGAAGCTGAAGAGCGGCACCGTCGTCACTCTCCTCTCCCTCGGCACCGGTGGGATTCGCAACAACCGGAGGCCGCTCGACAACGAGAACCCCAAGGACTACGCCAATCGCTCCGCCATTCAGTGGCACCGTGTCTCCATTTATCCCCAGAGATTGGGAAACCTTGTTGTCAAACACATTGGTCCCGGGTGAGTACTCTCTCTCTCTCTCTCTCTCTTTTGGTTTACTAATTCTTGCACCTTGCTCTTTCTGCTTGCTACTCTATTTATATTGTATAATGTAGGTCAATGCTCTATGTGGAGGGGAACCTCGAGACCAAAGTTTTCACCGATCCGATATCCGGCCTTGCCCGCCGAATTCGAGAAGTTGCTGTTCGGCGAAATGGTAACTCTTTCAATCTATGCTGTTTTTCTTTTTACCTTGTGTTAATTTGATTGGTAGAGGTATTGCTAGATGTTTAAATAAGGGTCTGTCTGAGTAAATTTCTCCAGAAGCACTTCAAGGAGAGAAAATTAGGAAGAAAAAATTAAGTATGAACATGTTTGAATATAAGTTTAGAAATGTTTTTGAAAATTTCTTTGCCGGAAAATACTTTATATTTCCGGTAAAGAAGCTCTCTAAAGTTCTTCTAGATTGTATCTGAACAAATTAAAATTAACTTAATCAGAAGTTAATTTGTAGAAGTTTTCTCTTATTAACTTCTTTAAAATCTTATCTTTTAACTTATGTATAAGTTAGTTTTGGTTTATAGAGAAACTTATTTCATTTGTTTCTTCCTATAAGTGCTTCTGAAGTTTTTCTAAACAAGCCCTTACTCTGTCTGTTGTTGTGCTTTCTAATGATGGATTTGCACTCTTGAACGCTTTTATTGCTTTGTCTAATTTGCTAGTAAGGGCTAACATTTGGATTGACAAGACTGATCTTGTGATTAGTTATTTTCATGAAGCAAAGTCTAAAAATTTTAGGTAGCTTATGATTAAAATAATGTTTGGCACGTGATAGAAGATTGCTTGAGAATCTTTTGTTATTTGCCAGTGGACTTGATGCAATACCACTTCTTGTGCTGCACAGGTCGCGTTGTATTTTTAGGTGAAGGTGGTGATGCCGAGCAACCAACACAGCAAAATGACCTGAAAGCTGTTGGCTATTACTGACGTAGTTGCTTGAAATGGGAACGTTGGATTTAGTTAACAAAGCCTGTGTTTGCTTTCACATTTCAAACGTGAAAAATCACGTTTAACGTGGAAGCTACAACGTGTAGCTTTCACGTTAAACGTGATTTTTCACATTTGAAACGTGAAAGCAAACACGCGCAAAGGAGAATTTTCAATTTTGTAATGATATTCTGATTTTTTACCACAAAGTTGGAATTATTACAGACATTTGTTGTGAGGGAAACACTTGGTTCGAGCGATCTTGAACTTTCTGTCCAATTCAGATTAAGGGAATATAGAGCTCAACCTTCCTGCTTATGTATGGTGGTAAAATTGTGGTAATGCAAGTATTTCTATTTCTCTTTGGCTTTAAATTGGTGGAATGATTCTTCGATGTTCTTCGGATCAAGTGGCAATTGGATGCTTAATTTTGGGACCAGACTCGTTCTGCTCCGTTGTTCACGCCAATCTTAAGTAATGGGCTATGACATAATTGTTCCGAGGCTCTCACTAAACTTTTCTGAACAAATCATTGCTGATTATGTATTAATGAAATAACAGTTGGTAGGGTTTTCGCAATTATTCTTCCATGGTGCCATATACCTCGGAATGTAATTTAATACCATTCTGAGGAACCACTAGAAGTTGGTTCCAGTCTAGTGCTTGCTTCCAAGACATGGTTGCGATCTATTTAAAGAAGCTTCTCTTTGATGCTTACGCATTTGAAGTATAAATAATAAAATTCCCCTTTAAATTTGTAGTAATGGAATGGAGTTAGTAGTTTGTTTGGGGTTCAGTAAACTTGTTCAGTGTTATGGTCCCTTGCACAACGTTTGGTTGGAGTAAAGTGGATACATTTTTATAGAATAAATACTTTAGTTTTTGAATTTGGAAAGCGCAAGTGGGTGAATGCTCGATTTTGATAAATGTTTAATGTTTGGTTCAAAATTTTGGAGTGAAGAGAAGACATCTTTTCACCAAATTTTGGCTCTTCTGGATTTGGGAAATTAGACTTTTATACTAATTTGGACGAAATTATTTTTATTTTAGCTTTATTTGATCATTCCAAGTATGTAATAGAAAATTTGTTTATTCATTCTTCCTTTCGTTCCGTTAAAATCTCTCTCTATCATTGAACTAAATGATGTTTTAGACTACAAAACATAACTTCATTATTACATGTTGTTTTGACATGCACTTTCGGATAATTGGATGTAACAGGGTCAAGAAATTGTATAATGAATCTTTTTGTTGATGTAATCTATCATTGGTGACTAAGGGAGTGGTTAATTTCTATAATAAAAAATTGCTATCAGTTTAAAAAAATAAGTGTTTGATGGGTGAAAATAGCTGTACTACCGTGTCATCCATCCTTCTATTCTCCCTTTCAAATTTAATGGCGTCAAAGGATGGAACAGGTATACCTCCCTCATAAGTAGGTAACCAATTCCCGACTCACCTAAACTTAACCTCATGTACTCTACTATGTTCTCATGTACTCTACTATATAACACTAGGGAACTTCCCCCTTAAGGCAATAAGCCTTCTCTAAGTCTCTACACACTCGTTGAAATGCTAGAAGCGGTCACCCTAGACAACCATTAAGCACCTCCATCACTAACCGATTGCATCATGGCAAACTGGAATTTCCACATTCCCAGACACAAAAACAGAAAGCAAAAATATGTAGCTTTTAGTTCAACATGGCTATGGAAGACATTTAACGTTAATTTAAACATACACTAAGCAATTGAAATGCTCATAAAAGAAGCCTACAAGCTCCTTTGATTCCTCTTAACAATAAGAATTATCAATATTTAAATAGAGATTATTGAATTTATTTTGTAATATTTTGCTTCTAACATAATATTGTCATATTAATAAGTGAATATATTTAAATTCATTGGGTATATAGTGTTCATTTAGTTAATTTTTATAGTATTTTTTACACTTTTTTTTTTCTATATTTTTATCATCACACTATTTATCTTATCTCACGGTTTTTTAATTCTTTTTCTTGTGTAGAAATTGTAATTTTTTGTTGTATAAACAATGTCACTCTAAACATATAAGAAAAGGACAAGCGTATGATATTTTGATAAACGAAGGACAAGTGATTTAATTCGATGAACAAGCATTTTACGTTCACATAAATTAAAGTTCTCGTTGACATCACCTCTATTAATTGTTAATAATGGTGACTTCAGGGGAGATGAATACTTACACTACCACGACAAGCAATGAGTTATGACACAGGCATTTTCAATGCCATATGCCAAACAACTCTATTTCGCATACATCATCCTCTGTATTCTATTTTCGTGATGATCACATACTTTATATGACATACTAATTAAGAGCATTATTCATTTATTTACCCTTAAAATCTACCTAATACCACTTTCATCTAAGTATAATCATATCACAATGGAGTATTTTTATGTGGAAGCTGAAAATACAAAGTTTTTTTTTTTTTTAAATCCAAAAATTCTCTTAATTAATCAATGAACGTGGCACTTAAAATGAGTACTGAATCCCCTAAACATACTCAGTTTTGAGTTCCACGCTTCAGATCATAACTCGTGTAAAATTCTAACTCTCTTTCCAAACCATAATTGAGAGATGCAAACCAAAAGCCAAACACACTGACAGAAACATCGACCAAGTTCTTTCCATCCGAGTGTCTGTCTCTATGGACATAAATCTTCAACTTGTGAAATTGACTCTACGCTAATTAATACGGCAACCACTTTTTTTCTTTTTCTTTTTGTGATTCATTATGGCAGAAAATTAAGGTATCATCATAGACATAGCAACGTGTGCTTTCTGCCTCGTGGAGTTGTGGGCTAATAAATTCGAAGTCAATCAACGTTGGCTACAACTGTGCAAAACAAAAACCATATCAGAGTCAATAATGATGATATAAATAAAGGGCATTGAAGAGAGAGGGAAGAGAGAATGGATGATGTGAGGAACATCGCTGTGGTGGTGGAAGACGTGGATGCTGCTAGAACTGCACTACAATGGGCACTTCACAACATCATTCGCTATGGTGACATACTCACACTTCTCCATGTTTACCCTTTCACAAGATCCAAAAGCAAAAACAAAATTCTTCGCCTCAAGGGCTTTCACTTAGCACTTTCTTTCCAAGACATTTGCAACAACTTCTCCAATGTAAGCCCTTCTCTTTTTCTTATCTCTCATTTGATTTGTTTTGGTTATTATTATTACTTTCCTTTATTTTGACAGATTTTGCTTGTTCAAATTAATGGGTATGTGCTATAATCTTAGGATTGTGTTACAGACAAAGGTTGAGATTGTTGTCACGGAAGAGAACCAAGAAGGAATGAAAATTGTGGCCACTGTGAGGGAGATTGGAGCTTCAATGCTAGTGGTTGGACTTCATGATCATAGTTTTCTTTACAGGTAAGTCCTACGCCAAATGTTTCAGTTTTCAACACAACTTCATGAAGTGTATTAATTGGAATTGTTATTCAATAGTTGGAGTGCATGATATGATATGATATTGATAATGTGATGTGATGACCCTATCTAAGTAAATGGGTACTTCTCATTCAAGTTGGATTTATCTGTCATCATATTCATGTTGGTGTGTTTGAATGTTAATTAAATTCAAGGTGCACTTGATTTGGTTTGGGGGAAAAGTGGTTGTGATCAAAGGTATTGGGAATCTCACTCTTTAATTACTTATTTAGTTGAAGGATTCTGGTTCTGGAATCACTTTTCTTTTTTATTGTTCCTGGAATCACTCTACAACATGGGATTTGTGGGACCTGATTAATTATCTAATCTTGATTCTGCTCAACATGAAAAAGAGCATGCTGTTGCCAGTGAGCTTCAGAAATCGGTCACTGAAAACCTTGGCACTTGCACATGCCTTCTTAATGGTCTCAAAAAATGCCAAAACCATTTGGGCTCCACTTTTGAATTGGCCTTGCCCATAATAGCACCGAAGTTGAAGTTGGGTTGAGAAATTATTCTTGTCTAGCCATGCCATATTTATTTATCCCCTAGTAATAGTATCCTCCTAAAACATATTTAATATTTCGAATATTTTCTTTTTCAGTAAGTACTACTGAAAACAGGAAAATGTTATCCGAATAGGGCAAGGATAGATACATTTGGGTAAGATAATTGAAGCGTTGCCTTACAGGAACCATTCAACTATATTTGAAACATCCATTCATTGGTCCTAGTTTGTCATGATCAGATAACTAATGCATTGAATTTTTTTGTGCTTTGAATATTACTTGTTTCACGTCTAACTTCAAACAGTGCATTATTAAATCTCAGAACTCAAATTAAGCAGTGTGTTTTGTTGATATTGCACAGCTTGGCAATGGTCCATAGCAACATAGCCAACTACTTTAACTGTAGAGTCCTTGCCATCAAGCAGCCTCCACTGAGTCCAATGGTGGGAATGCAAGACAGCTTAACCAACATGGACTTTTCACAGATTGACATATCTAGATTACAGTAAGTTTCTTCAAAATCCGTCTCACCATTACTATTTGTCAACATGTTAGATTAATTATCACCCAAAAACAGGGAAATATATAGTATTTTACTTGGAATTCACCTACTCATGATCCTTTCCATGTGCTATTTAAGTATATCTTGGTGTTCCACACCGTGTCAAGCTTTGGATTCAACCCAATGTTCACAAGTTCTCATTTATATGAATAATAAAAGTTTAATAGTAAGAAGATAGTATAAAATAGTTTTATACCGTTAATAAATCACATACTACAGTTAGTATAATTTATTTATTTATTTATTATAAAATCAACAGCATATCATAAATAATGATTTATGATTTGATGGTGTATAACTAATTTGTATAATTAGGGTATTATCTATTTTCTAATAATATTATAAATTAACTGAATTAATGACTCCACTTATATATAAACTCACCCATCAAAGAAAAAGACAACTCAATTCTGGACTAACCAGTGTTGGATTTTGGTACTATCCTAGTGCTTAGAGTTCATATTAGTTAGAATAGTTAACAGTATACTAGTACTTTCTAATATATATTTTTCTAATACACTTTTTCATTGATCGAATTTACGTAGGTCTCGATAATTTGTAAATGAGACTTTCGTGAAAGTTATATGAATTTTACTTGATAAGAAAAAATATATGTTTCAGTAAAAAGAATAAAAGATAGAGGTACTAGGATTTATCATGTACAGTGCTTTTTGGTATGCTGTTCATGTGAATTACTTTCTTTTATTAATTTAAAGAGTTACAAATAATGAAGCAATTGAAGACAGAGAAGCACAATTAATGAGTCAAATGAAGTTTATAATATTGATGCATTGCAGAGTTCCTGACACTCCTCCACCAAAGATAAAATACCGGATTTGCCCTGATCCGACTGCAATTATTTGTAGACTAAGAAGGTCAAGGAGAAGAAGATGAAAGAAATGGTCAACTTCTCAAGCATCTCTTGAAGCTGATTGAATCAATTTGGTTCAGAAAATTTTCTTTTTATTAAAATGGTTTCTGAAAAATTCGGGCCATGATTTTTTTTTTCTTTCAATTTCCTATATAATTTATAATCCTCTGCATATACATTAAGAAAAAGGGTGCAATTAGCTTGGTATAGTTTGGTACTTTGGTTGTTTGTCCCAACATTTGTTTTGATTGTATAAAGGATCTTGTGGTAACATTACCTAGGTACATATTTGAAGAATGATGACGTTTTTCTATTTTTTTATTTTTAATAGTTAGTTTTCTTATATTGGTTATGTTTGTTATGGTGCTATTGACTTCCCTGCCCTTACGCCTTTTATATATTTCTTTTTCTTTGCTGAAGCCATATTTATATTTTGATCGTGTATACCAAGTTATGAAATTTTAATGTCAGTTAAATATTTATAGGTACACATTAACTCCTGTGTATTAAATCTAAACGGTTATTTTATATTTTAAGACCTATTATTTAACGGAATTTTTTTTAGAATTTTTTTTAAATTTTTATCTAATTCAATTTTATCTTGTTTATAAATTAAATTTCAATATTTTCAATATAAATTATCAATAGATAAAAAAAATTGTTACGATATAAATTATTTATCCTAAATATAAAATATAATTTATATATTTAAAATATTTATTTATATAAAATTATATATATATATATGAATCTAATATTTATTTATAAAAAATATTATAAAATTTTAATTATATATAATAAATATTTAATCTTTGAAATGCACAAACTAAACTATTATTAATATTAAGAAGAAGGAAAAAAGTACATGCTCAATGGTTTGATGTGTAATGGCGATTTTGGTAAAATCAAAATCAAAATTCCGTTTTAACTGACTCTAAATCTTCCAAAAATTGGATAATTTAAAAGAGTTTACCTCTTGACTTAAAACTTTGCATGCATTCACAGAAACCAGTGCTGTTAAAATAACATTAGTTATTAAATTGATTAATGTACTAGTTCAAGATCTAATAATTTAATTATGGTCAAATTGATATTTTTTTTTAACTATAATATTCATATGAAATATTTAATGTTAAAATCAATGACTAATTTCTATAGAGAGTGTGAATATATGCATAGTTTTTATTTCATATTTCATACTCAAAATTAGGATTTGAACTCTAAATATTTTGTGCAAATCAATATTAATAAAATGATAATAATTATCCTCTAAAAAAAAGATAATAATCATTATTATGTAAAAATAATGTTAAATAAATATATTATATGATATAATATCATAATTTTATAATACTAAAAATTAGAATAAAATATTATTTATAAATTCTTAATACTTAATATTTGTGTAAAAAATTAAATTAAATATAATATAATATTTATATTTAAATTTTATTAAAATTTAACAAAAACTATTAATAATAACAAGTTTACATCTACTATAAAATCATCAAATTAATATAATAAAAATATATTAAAAAAATATAACTACGTTGTCCTTTTGTCAAAAAAGGAATATAGGTTTTTTTTAATTTCTTTAAAACATTTAAGATTTTATAAATTCTTTCGATATATTCATTAAAATCTAAATTAAAAATTTTGATTATAATTTTTAAAAAAAATCTTAATAATCATCACATTTTTACAAAAAAATTTAAAATTTATATTAAAATATTTTTTTCAAAAATTTAATCCAATAAATCTCAAATGCCTTACTATGATACTCTTTTTTTATGGATTTATCTCCTCTAAATAATATATGTACTTTGAAAAATAAAATATACTCACAATTGTTGGTTAAAAACTCAACAATTAAAAATTATGATAAAATAAAATATATTTATAAAAGTATCTAAAATTATTTATAATATTTATATTAATTTATTAATAATTATTATTGCACTTTAATTTTTAAGATGGAATTTTGTCATTTTAGGGGAACCGAATTTTTTTTTTTTTTTTATCTATCAACTTTATAATAACAACATTAAAATCTATATTTAAGACCTTGTACATACTACTACTTTAATGACATCATTATGAGGCAAATAATGTCAAATAAATTGGTGAAAATCAAAATAAAAGAAATAAATCACTTGGTGATGAATCTTAAAGAAAGTATATTGATATATATATATATTAATAATAATTTTTATCCTTTATAACTATGAATTAAAATAACATATTATCAATCATTTTAAATTTAACTATTTATTTATAAAATTATTACTTTTAATTTTTATTGTTGGTGAAATATATTTTAAAGTGATTAATTTAAAAATTTGAGCATGAGTAATAATATAATATTTAATGGCACTACATAATATAAAAAAATAATACCTTTTTTTACAGCATAAAAAATAATGCATAACCATCAAAATCATATAACTAGTAAATAATATGTTACTACTTAATATCAAATTATGTATAAAAAAAAACATAATAACAAAATTAATATTTAATCATTTTGTCTAATAAATAACATTAATGTGACCAATTTAATTCAACATTAAATACAATTATCACCATTAAAGTTAGTTATATTTAATTTATCATGTCAAGTTGAAGTTTCAATTAGCAATCAATGGGTTTCTTTTATGTCTATTAAGAATCGAATTTGGTATTAAGAGATTCCATTAACTCACGCATATTACTCAATTAATTTAAGGTAAATTTCTTAAGTTTCTTTTACAAAAATCAAGTATTTTAATCTAATGAACGTCCTATTTTAGAAGGTGTTTTCACGATTGATTTTCACAATTTAAAATTTGAATTTAACGTATAAAAGTTACATTTTACATATGTATAATAATTTTTAATAGTCAATTTTAAAAACACTACGTTGACCAAATTTATGAAGAAAAAAAATATTTCACATAGATTTTAATAACGGAAGAAATTAGAACATAAAAGTATACTATATTGATATATATATATATATATATATATATATATATATAATGATAATTTATTAATTTTTAT